GCGGCGGCGGCGGCGGCGGGCGGTGGAGCCGGGGCCGGGGGCGGAACGGCGGCCGGAGGCCCAGAGGGCGGCAGCTCGGAGTCCGAAGGCGCCAAGATTGACGCCAGCAAGAACGAGGAGGACGAAGGGTGAGTAGGGCCGCTGGCCCCGGCTCCGCGGCCCCGCACCGTCACCGTCCCTGTCCCTGGCCCCCCGCGCCTGGCCTGCGCCGCTTCCCCTCCCCCCGCGTCCCCACCTCCGCCGTCACCATGCGGCTCCCGCCCGCCCTCCTTCCTCCCGCGCGGTCTCCTCCCACCGGCTCAGTCGCCAGGATTTTTCCCGCCTGTCTCGGGGACGTCTTTTTCCTGTTCCCGCTGTTTCCTCCTGGACCCTTTTCTTGACGTCCCTGTTTTCTACTGCGATCGCTGAGCTTTCTTTGCACCTGTGCGCCCTCGGAGACGGCCAGCGGTCGACCCGCACCACCCGAGCCCACTCCACGCCAGGCTCATTTTACAATTTAAATAAGTTTCGCCTTGGGACTCTTCCCCTCTCGCCCTGCACTTTAGATGGTTCCACAAGGGCGGGCTTCTCTGGACCCCGCGTTAGTACCTGCCGCGATGCCGGGGTCGCCGATGCGTGGGCTTCGCCCTGGACCGAGCGCGGCTACCCCGGCAGGCGGTAGGCTGAGTTGCTTTCCCCGCGCACTCTTTTCGCGCTCTCAGCTGCTGGGTGCCCTGTTGGAGCCGTTTATGCTCTACTTTTTTTAATGCCACTTACATTTTTTTCATTTCTTCCTCCGTTTTCAGAGTTAAGGAGCCTTTTGAATTGCTCTTCTCGTTGGCTTACTGTTAAAAGTAGGGCCACTTGCTCCTTTTTTCTAGTCTTGTACTGTCCCGTGAGATAAATTTTTTTTTTTTTTTTTTTGGCAGGTTTTTGAGTGTTAGGTTGCTTCCAATATGAGAAACGGTGGCATGTGCTACCTAGAGCTGCTTTTAATACATGGAGTTGCAGCATCTGGGGGCATAATACAGGAATTAGCTGGAGTTACAAGATCAGGTTAATTGGGGTTGACCACTGATCTTGGGTTAGTGTTTCCATTCCTTTTTGTAATGGGTGTGTGTGAGAATTTTTTCCTCATTATACAAAATAGAAGGCACTTTAACCCGGCATTAGAAACCATGATTTCCTTTCCTGGGTAAGAGCACAGAATTGGGGCGCGGCGGGGGGCACTTTGGACTACTGTGCAGTGTAGTTACAATCCCAGCCCAGGCAGACTTGTCAGGCTGTTTACTGAGGGTGGAGGAGGGAGGGGAAATGAAAACTTTCCTAAACAAGTAATCTTGAGTTATCTGTAGCTTAACTTGAGAAATGTTATGCCTTTAACATTTGCAGCTTATTTAGAACCTTAAGCCTTTAGCATTTTGAGTTTTTTACTTTTTGAATTCTGTTCTTTGGACAGAAGCACCAAAGTGAATTAATTGTATAACTTGTACTGTTTGCAACAGGCTTATTAGCCCTGAGTTTTCAAATCACAAAGCAGCTGTCTTTGTAGTTACCTACTGTTGAACTGAAGTGTAAATGAATTAAAAGTTTTAACCCTAACAATGCCAAAAACTAAAACTAGAATTTTGATTGGTTGCTGTACCGGTTGTTAATTCCCTAGCCATTCAAACTCCTCCCCACGACACACTGAAGCAGCGACGGCACAGCGGGAAGAATGGTAAAACTTTTAAATTTTATTTCTGTATTATAAAGGTTTCAATCGTTATAAAATGCAGAGGTTATTAGTTGCCCATTGATTGCCCCAGGAAATTCTAGACATTGCTAGCGTTGTAGGCTATCTTGTACCTGGGATGTAAAACTACTGAGTATCATGTATTTTTGGGCAAGATTGATGTCATTTTATGGTATTTGGTCGGTGGTAATGCATGTAATTACAGTTTGGTTAATTTAAGCTAAATATAATTATGTTTCTATATCTGGGCAAGAATGTGATTTCACATTTATTAAACTGTTTTGTTGAAATTTGAAATGTAATGCTAAATATAAAGAGTGCTTTATAAACTTGAAGTGTTTTGCATGTTGTACTGAGATACTCAGGAAATGTTAAGTAAAGCAGTTTTTGATGACTGCATTATACAGAAAAATGTTCGTCTTTTCCCACTCACAAGATTAGTAAATACCCTTTTAATAAAAATTGGGTATGAACCATTTAGAGGTGGGCCTCTTGTGGCTTACTAATACAGCTCTCACCAGCTTTTTCTTACTGCTTAGGTTGGAATGTTATAGTTCTATATGTATGACTTTTCTGTGGAGGCTAGTCTGTTGATTATTACTTTATCCGGCCTTCACCTCCCCCAAATGATCTTCATGCCTGTAGAATCATAGTTGAGTTTTGTAGACATCAGTTGTCCACCATTGGAGATTTGAGAGCTAATTTGTATATAGTTAGTTGCCTTACATCTGTACAAACTATATTGTGTTTTAAGAGCCCATTTGGGATACATTTAAATTTTACACAAAATTTATTTACCACTATATTCTCCACTGAAATCTTTCCAGTGTTAGATTGGAGATAAGTAACTGGAAACAAATAGCCAAAGGAAAATATGAAAGGAAAAATGTTAGGATCAGTGTGGTATATTGAGTGTTACCATAAATGTTAGTTCCTCTGTTTGGATGACTAGTTGGCACAAATAGTTCAGTTTCACTGCTGTGTAATGGCAAATTAAAAGTAAACTGACTTTACTGTTACATATTTTGAATCTTAATTGTTCCTGGAAATTAAAAATCATAAACTTGAAGATTTGAATGTCAGTATTTTGACTTTTATTAGAATTATCCTTGCTCTGCCACTTTATAACTTTTGGGGTGACTCATAGCGAACATTTTAGATTATGATCAGTTGTCTACCTTTTAGGTTATGACACTTGTCATCCACTGAAAGTAGATTTTAGTGAAATTCATTTTGAATTAAGCAAGTTTGCACTTACAAGATAGTGTTCTTTCTCTCTTTCTCTCTCTCTCCCCTCTTGTTTTTTTTTTGGAACTCATAGGGTCAAGTAATCCTCTCTCCTCAGCCTCCTGAGTAGCTGGGACTACAGGTGTGTTGTCACCATGCCTGCCTCCATAGTTCTCATTTTTAATGTCTAATATTTGACTTAGTAACTGCCAAATTACTCAGCCCTATTTTGTTCCAGATACTAATTTTTTTGAGTAAAAAAATGCCTGAAGGGCCGGGGAGATGGCTCAGTAGGATAAGCGCTTGACTGGCAAATACAAGGATCTGAGTTCAATCCCCGGTTCCGCAAAAAAAAAAAAAAAAAAATGCCTGAAGACCACCAAACCTATTTTTTATTGTCTGTGCACTTGCCATGCCTATGTGTTGCGTTATCCCTTTTTTTGAGGGATATTGGACAACAGTTGTGTAACACATTCTCAGTTATGCAGATAAAACTGGTATTGTTAGTAGGTTCAAAATCATCTAAATTTAACAATTCTGTGTGTATTGTCTTTTACAAATCTGAGAGTAGTGCAATCTTTTTTTAATAATGAGAATGAACAGTTTTGAGGAGCACATTCCTGTTAGGGTTTTATGGGATGCTTCCACATTTTACTACAGACTTGAGAACAATGGTTTGTTTCATAGTGAAATGACTTCCTCAGTTCACCTTGCTCTAATCTTTATAACATTAACATCCCTAGTTTTTACTTAAGAGCAATTACATTGGAGTTTCCCATATTGGTTTGTGGTGTGGAATGATTTTCTCTGCAGTGCTGCAATGCTTTCAGGGTAGGTACCTTAAAATTACTTGGTGTCTGGTGAAGTACACATGCCATGTAGTGAAGTACCTGAGGGAGTGTTTTTAAAATTTAAAGAACATTAGAAAACTGTTTTGCTAGCTTTGGGACAGTTTTACAAGGTAGGTATGTAAATTCCCTCTACACTGGATTTTTTAGGAAGGACTAAACGTAATCCCATTAATTTATTGGTCATTGTACAACAGTATTTTTTAAATTAATTTGGTCTTAAACAGTAGATTATACTCATGTGATTCTGCAAATTCTGTTACAGGTAACTGCTTGTCTAATTTTAAAAGAATAGGCTTTCACATTGCTTTGATTTAAATATTTGAGATTATATTCTATACTCTAGTGTTTCTGGGGTAATCTGAACATTGTTTTATAAAGTGATTATATAACAGTCAAATGCCAAATTATGACCTTTGCAGGAAAGTTGGATTTAGCCCAAGTAGATGGGTCTCTATGAAACACTCTGGAAGTTGACATACTTCCAGGGTTAAAATTGCATAAACTGATGCTACAAAAATGTTGAGGTGGTGAGCATTTAAGGGAGGAGTGTTAAATTCTATTGATAGTGTTTAGAATCCAACCCCAGGCCTTTGTGCATAGTAGGCAAATATATCCTACTCTTGAACTACATCCCTGTGTGTTAATTTTTTAGCAAAGATACTGAAAATTACTTCTTAAATTTAGAGTTGAAGAATGTCATTGACCTTTTCAGTACTGTTTTTTGAGAAAAGCATGTTTGTCTCAAACCTGGGATTTTTTTTTTTTTTTTTTTCCTTCCAAGCCATGTGACCCCCTTTAAACTCACGTTTTTAATGCCTGGGTACCGTGCTATCTGTAAAACGGCCCTAATAGCTGAATACCTGTTTAGCCTTCAAGTGTTGATACAAGATATGCTTGAAAATATTTAAAAAGGGCTAAAATAATTTTCATGTTCTTCTTAAAGATTTGTATCTCTAGTGTACATATTCACAAATGGAGTGATATGTCATTTTAGTCCAAGTTTGATTTGACTTTCAGCGTATTAGTAGATAGGGCACTGAACTGGATGCTGGAAGTGTGGAATCTGTTTCTGTTCACTTTCAACAGTGGTCTCAGGTAATATGTTTGTTATTTGGTTTGCGGATCTCTGTGTTGGAAACAATGCTCACCACAGGAAGATTGACAACATAGCCTACTTTCATAGCTTGTATGTATTTATCCTGTGTCCTAATAGTTGATACTGCCAGTGATTTACTCCTGTGGAGTAAAGGTAAGCATGTTTTTAGTTTTTGGAGCGTTATATGTTGATGCCAGGTATTAAAAATAATTGGGAATAGGGAAGAAAGACTCCTGTTTACTGATGATTGTTTGACCAATGACCAAAGTGCAGTCCTTTAAGTATTGGGTTTCCTATAAGCTCCTGCTTATCAAGACCACTAAAAAGCTCCAAACAACCAGAAAATTAATCTCCCACTCTTCAGTATTGTGAGGTAGATAGATGAAACTATCAACACGTACATTCAAAGAGAAACCAACAAGCAGAATCAAGAAGTGACTGTCCTACAGATGTTTAGTTGTGTTGCAAATTAATGAGTTTAAAGTATTGACAGATTTAAGAATTCATTAAGAATCATTTTCTGATTTTAGTGTTAAGTCAGTTGTCATAGAATACTTCATAGAATTATCAGTATGTAGTGATCTAGTTAATCAGAACATTTATATCTATGATAAGGAAGTAACTGTTCCTTAACCTTTTGGTAAGTGGGAGTTTACTATATAGAGCTGATAGGTAACATTAAAGAATGTGATGTCCTTTCCATGTAATGAGGAAAAAAAGGAAACTGTTGGATTAAGCATTTATAAAATTTATTTTGTAAAATTGTTTAATTTATTAGATTCAATCTAGTTTTGTAATAGTCATTTGGGTTCCTTGTGAAGTACAAAGTAGTGGGATTTAATATAGAAGAATTAATTTTGGTTTGAAAATCTTTGATCTTGTACGTGTTAGTCTTGAATAATAGGTTCTTTATATTAAATCATTTACATATAAAGCTGGGGAGAAATTATGTATTAAAATGGGGAAAGAATGCTGGAATTTAACTTTTATTGACTGAAGAGTTTCAGGAGAGAAGATTTACTGTCCAACTTTAATGTGGTTTTTGTGTATTTTAAACCTGACCAGATCTATGAAGTCTGGTAATTTGTCAGGTAACAGTTTGTCAGGATACTTCCTAGGGTAGTTTTTCTACAAATTGTAAAGTCACTTCCCTACCACGTGATACTTAGTTGTGGAGTAATATTTTAATGATGGAAGTTTAAAATAAATAATCGTTTCCAAATAAATATACTCATGACTTGCATTTAGATTTCAGTATAGTTAAAAAGTCTATAATTTGATAAAATTATTTAAATGGGAATTAGATAACATTATAGTAAAAGGTGACAGTGATTGGCCAATTAGGGTGTACATTAGAAATATTTACCTGGTAGATACTCTTGTGTTTTTAAATGGTCAGAACTTGTTATGAAGCCTTATATGTAAGATTATGATTTGTATGGAAGTGTTTACAAGTTACAGAATACCTCTTTTTGCTTCCTGTTTCAAAGTAAGATAAAAGATAATGGGATTTCATCTTCAATAAATTTTTTTTCAGTAAATTGTTACAGAAAATCTTTTAAATATTTACTACTTTAGAGTGGTAAACCTAACGATCTCAATAGTTGAATTAGTTTACCGGTGGGAAAAAAACCCTGCCAGGATTAAGTAGGACCATTTATCTGTCAGCCTGTACTGTTCCATAAAAGTAATGGCATGTATGTAAATATAATCATCATGACTATTTCAGAAGCTGCACATGAGGCTCTTAAAAGATGACCTGTTTTCCAATCTGGGTTTTTTTCCCCCTAACATGGGATATTTAAACATTTTTGCATATTTTAAGGCTTTAGCATTGAAAACTTTAGTATCTGTTAAATTCATGACCTTTTTACTTTAATGTTGGGAAGTTTATGTCTGTAGTTAAGAATGTAAGCAAATTGAGCAAATGAAAAAAGTTGCTTTAGTAAATAATGTCTACATGGTGCTGTTCTATAAAACAATTTGCTGAGCAATTTGAGTGGGTTGGGCTGTACTTTGTGCTTCTAAGTGTATTGGCCCAATTTAATCCTAATTGTTAGGTGCCTTCAGTTAAAATGGGGAAAAACAGCTTTCAAAAAATTTTAAAAACAGGGTTATATAGTAAGTGGGAGAGCTAGAGTTTAAACATAGGGATTTTGAGTTTACTGCCTTGAAACTTGTGCTGAAACAGTACAATAAATGTCCAAAGCAGCTTATCTGCCTGAGTGACAGTAGCATCTGGATAGTCATTCTGCAGGGTTTGGTGTGTGTCATCGAACTTTTACATTTGGGTGTACCGTAATACAGCTGTGAAAGCAAAGAAACATTTCTTTGTTGAGTAGGTGTTTTAAATTGAATACTGTTTGCCTTTGGGGTGAAATGTTTAGTGATGGATAGGATTAAGAAATTTATTAATAAAATATGGTAGATGAAAACCTGTATCTTTTCATTGGGGATTATTGATGCACTTGCAGCTGAAGGATCAAATTTGAAACTTACATTGCAGCATTAGCCATTTTTGTTGCTACCGGAACAAATTGGTAGTTTTAATTTTGCTGCTTAGGAATTTTCGAAGTAATATCTCTACTTCATTGGAAAGTGTTTGCATCTCTACAGGAGTGAAAGCAGCTTGAAAATCAGTCTGTATTCAAGGCAGCGGAGGTAATCTGGACAGACAGTAGGTATTGTGCTTTAAGCAAGATACAGTCCTATAAAATGTAGATAATTTAAATCAGTATTAATCTTGGGCCATTTTGTAGTTTGGTGGAAAATGCATGCCAGTGTTTGAGAGAGGCAAAATAAATGTCTACTTACCCATAAATATGGTAAACACTTAGTTTTATAGTGGTGTACAGTTACAGTTGTGCCCACTGAATAAAGATTAGTAATGGGGGAATGTATTTGGTATTGTTTGTGTTAGTTGCAATACATTTCACCTGTTACCATTTTAACCAGTAAGAGCAGAAGAGCCAGAGTGGTTTTAGATTGCCAAAACACTAGTATATATATTTGGCTGAAGGACCACTTAGTCTGTTGCTCAGAAACTGCATTTTAATGCACAATTTGAAGAATTTTAAGAGCTGGCCGCTTAATATATAAAATGGAAGTTATACTTTTTAGAAATGATGATTAATCTGGCAAAAGTAAAAAATAAAATTTTAAGAAATAAGTTGTACTTAATGTATTAGTAAGTAGCTCTTTTGGCTTTTTGAGATGGGATCTTGCTATGTAGCCCAGGCTGGCGTTAAACTCAAAATCTTCCTGCCTCACTTAAGCGTTGAGATTACTGGCATGGATGCTTGGCTTACTAAGTGGCCCTGTTAATTGTTTTTGGAGAACTATAAATGATTGTGTGGGATATGTAAAAGTTGTAGTTGACCAAGTATATAGTACTTTGGGTAAATGAAATTTAGTTTAGGTAGGATACTATTTTGTGAATTCTTTCAGCCCTAAATTTCAGCAACTTCTTGTTAAAGACTATCTTAAGTTAGGAAGTGTCTTTTGAGAACATTTTATTGGGGCACTTGAATTAGTGTAGTATGTTTATTTGATAAGAGAATTTCTGTGAGAAATAGTTGGGAGTTGAGAATTACAGAACATGCCTCATTTCATATGTTAAATCTTTGTATTTATTAATTTTAAATTAAAGGTGCTTCAGTATAAGCATTATAGTGGTTAAATAAAATTGAAAGTTCCATCTTGGTATTTGATGAAAGAACTTTAAAAAAAAAAAAAAGTGGGAAGCTATACATGGGGCTGGGGAGATGGCTCAGTGGAATAAGTGCTTCTCTGGCAAGCGCAAGGGCCTGAGTTCAATCCCCGGTTCTGCCAAAAAAAAAAAAAAAAAAAAGTGGGAAGAACTTTTTTTTGCCTTTTAAACTTAGCTTTATATAAATCTTACTGTTTTGCATCTCTATAGAATGCAAACTTTGTTTAGGTTGAATAATTTCAAACTTTAAGTTATTGATAAGAAATTTCTATAATAATTGTTTTAAAGTCTGTCTTTCAAGCAGTGTCCTTAACATTGAAAGGATAACTGTTGGTAATATACTTTTCATCCAAAAAGGAAGTAGTTTGGACTCTTGGACTAAAAACGTTTATATGAAAATTACGTAAATATGGTATATTTAAAATTACCTTGTTTAAATGAGATGTGTTACTGAGACAATACCTCAAAAATTTTCCACAGAATTGGCAGTAAGTGCTCATTTAAAATCCCTACACAACTTTATGGGTGTTTTGATATATGTTTATTTCATTATAGAATACCAAAAGGTTTATAAATATTAACTAAAAAGGGAATTTTTATTTGAGGAAGTCCACAAAATTAAGCACACAAATGGCTCAGTTCCAGAATAATGTTCAAATTGAAAACCTAGCCTGAAATGAGAAGCACAAAAATGCCTAATGTAGGACTTCACTGAAGGATAGCTTTGTTGTTAGGACTTACATGAGTCTGGTAAAGTAGCAAGAGCAGTAACGCCTCAGTCAGGCCCTCTGAGGGTAAAGGAGAGGAAAGAACTAACACCAGGGACAGTTCATTGGCTGCTTGCAAGAACGGGCGTTAGTGCTCACATCTTGAAAGCCCACAGGGAGGTAGTGATGTTTTACAAGAAAGGGTTGCTTTAATTTCTTTCTGGAGCTGTAAATTAGTACCATGTTTTCATTCATCCCTCCTCTTAACTGCCTCCAGTTAAAAAGAACAGCTCAGGAAAGAAAGTGTGATTAATTCTATTCCTTAGTTCCTGCATAACAAATTCTGACAGTTTACCTTTAATTTCCAACTCTGTCTTAAATAGAAGGTATAGATTAATTGCGCATGCGTGTGTGTGTGTGTGTGTGCGCGCGCGCGCGCATATGCAAAGAGGACAGATCCGAGTTTCCAAATTTGAGCTTTTTGATATTTTGCTACGATAATGTTAAGACTTAAATTTTTTTTTTCTTTCTTTGATCTGGTCTTGGTGGTTTCCACTTAGCACCTGTCATTTTTAAAAACTTAAATATTGCTGGTTAACTGAGGTTCTGCTGTACAGAAACTAGTGAATTAATTGTGTTTCAGTGGATACTTTCAACTAAATTGTTGATGTTATTTTGTCTTGAAGACTTTCAGCACATTCAGAAAGTTGGTTTACAACTTCTGAGACTTTTCTATTTTATGTGCTAAGAGTTTTGCTAAAGTTAACTGTTTTAAAAGTAAGAAAGGAGCTTTAGCTATAATTTAAATACAGTGTTGGTTGCTATGGTGACTGGAGAGTGATCAATCACAGCCTTCCGTCAAGTTTAATGAAGGTTTGGAAGAAACTTCAAGATTCTGTCTTGCTGTTAATATTTAAGAAAACACTGTAATATTTTGGCTATATGTTCGTCTTTTTTAAGCAAGTTGGTAGACCTAATTTGCTGCTTGCTCACTATTTTATAGTTACCAGCAGCAGCAGAGAGAAAAACTTATTGGCATATTTTTTGATGTGTGGGTATGTAAGAAGAATGTCATTTTAATAACACTGTCCAGTGAATTAGTGCAGTTTAGAAAGGGCGCTTTACTAATGTAGTTGATATAGTACTTAAAGCAAAGCTTATTTTATTTTTTAGCATTTTAATACTCTTTTTTTTTTTTTTTTGTCTTTACAGGAAAATGTTTATAGGAGGCCTTAGCTGGGACACTACAAAGAAAGATCTGAAGGACTACTTTTCCAAATTTGGTGAAGTTGTAGACTGCACTCTGAAGTTAGATCCTATCACAGGGCGATCAAGGGGTTTTGGCTTTGTGCTATTTAAAGAGTCGGAGAGTGTAGATAAGGTAGTGTGTTATGTATTCTGCTCAGTTAATATTATAAAACATTGTTTGATGTAATGAATTTGCCTGTTATTTGTAATTTTCTCTTTACAAGTTTAAGAAGGGAGAAGTAAAGCTTGCCAAATGTTTATGAGGAAAGGGGCAGATTCAGAAATTACTTACTGCATACTTTTCTGTATGCCTGATACTGCTGAATTAAAATTGTGTTCAATCCCTAACATCCCGTATTTCCCCCTGTTAAAAAAAAAAAAGGAGAACCTAACTCAGCTGGGATGTAGCTCTTTCTAGCATGGACAAACTTATGCTCCTTTCCCAGCAGGATGTGTACACATTAGAAAACCTGTAAGATGCTGGGGAAGTAGCTCGGTGGTCTAAGTGCCTGCTTGGCAAGTGCAAGGTCCTGACTTTGATCCCTGGTACTGCATATTATGCCGATCCTGGAACCTGGGCACACCATGCCAGCCACTGAAACCACTTGTGGAAATGCACGCTTGTAATCCCAGTACTGGGGAGGCTGAAACAGGAGGATCACTATGAGTCCAAGCTGCATAATGAGACCCTGTACCAAATAAAGATTTTTTTTTTTTTTTTGCGGAACCGGGGATGGAACTCAGGTCCTTGTGCTTGCCAGGGAAGCGCTTATTCCACTGAGCCATCTCCCTGGCCCCTAAATAAAGATTTAAAAAAAAAAAAAACCCCAAACTTTAAAATACCTAATTAAAAGAACATTTTAAAACGAGTTCACAGACGTGCATATTTTGAAGTTTTTTCTTAAGCAGCTTCTGATCAAATCACTGTTTTTGTCTCGAACCATTATGATGAAGTAGCAAACGTTTGTTGCTTGGCACTTAACAGAGTTGGTACCTAGTCATTGGTTAAATTTGGGCAGTACCCTTCTACCAGTTGTTAATGACTTAGATTTATGCACTAGTATGTACTACCTGATGTCCTATCCCTATGACTTGCTAGTTAATATGTATCTGACATTAGCTGTTTATCACTATAGTTTTTAAGTTGATAATCTGAATTTTAGTTAAGTTACAAATATAAAAAATGGAAAACTTAATTTCCTTAGGTCATGGATCAGAAAGAACATAAATTGAATGGGAAGGTGATTGATCCTAAAAGGGCCAAAGCCATGAAAACAAAAGAGCCTGTTAAAAAAATTTTTGTTGGTGGCCTTTCTCCAGATACACCTGAAGAAAAAATAAGGGAGTACTTTGGTGGTTTTGGTGAGGTATGTTTTAAATGTTTTAACCTAGTTTATATAAGTCAGAATTAGTAGTCTGAGGCCGTATTATGTTAACTCCAATTCACTGGAGTTTTTAAAGCTGTTTAAAGTTAGAGCAGATAATTTATTTTGGAATAAGAATGTTGAAAACATTAGGTCTATGAAGGTCATTTGATAAAAGTTTTCTCATTGAGCCATCTGCATATGTAAGATAGTATTCTGGGCACTTTGTACACAAAGATGAAATGGTTTTTTATTTTTTTATTTTTAAGAGGTAGGACTTTTGTTTTCTACTTGGGGCTGGCCTCTCGGTCTTGGGTGGTCCCCTGCCTCTGAAGTAACTGGTTGGAACTACAGGCAGGCCCCAGAGTACATGTGGCTTGGGACAAACAGTGTTAATTCAAGAAATTTATTGAATTAGTAGAAGATGCAAAATACGGTGAAAAGTAGTCTCAGTTTGGTTACCTACAATATAGAAAGAAACTAGTTGAGAATAGGAAAAGAATGAATTGGGGCCTGGGAGATGGCTCAGTGGAATAAGCGCTTCCCTGGCAAGCGCAAGGGCCTGAGTTCAATCCCTGGTTCCACAAAAAAAAAAAAAAAGAATGAATTAAGGGTAGGTTGTAATGTCATATATATAAGTGAAAATTTAAGCTAGGTGCAGTGGCCTTTAATCTCAGCACTCTAGGAGGGTGAGCCAGAAAAGTTGCCAACAGCCTGGGCAACTTAGACTGTTTTCAAAAAAAGGAAGGGTTGGTTTCTGTTCCCAGCTTGTGTACATACAATGTGCAAATGTAATGAGACTGATTATAGACTACTTGTAAGAGCAACCAGCATCAGAACTGTTGCTGCCTTTCTGCATGGCAGTAGCTGTTTTCTGTTTTAAGATATCAGTAGCACCTTCCACCTGGGGTGTGGAATTTACTATCTAGTCCTAGCCACACTTCTGGTTTTCTCTCAAATGCAGACATTTAAATTCAGCATTTCTTAAAATGGTCTGCTTTGTTGGCATTTGAATTTGTGATTCTTGGGTTGGATAGCAAATATTAGTAACAGGTGAAGCTTTGTTCTGTGATAGGGTTTACAGACTTAGTATGTAAATTATATTTGAAAACAACATGGAAGAGCAGTAGCTTGAGGGCCACATTTGTAATATTCCTACTATATGCTGTTAATAAATGCAAACTAGGGTTCTGAAGCTTGTTTTTTGATACTAGGTGGAATCCATAGAGCTCCCCATGGACAACAAAACCAATAAGAGGCGTGGATTCTGCTTTATTACCTTTAAGGAAGAAGAACCAGTGAAGAAGATAATGGAAAAGAAATATCACAATGTTGGGCTTAGTAAAGTAAGTTTTAAGCATTTATAACTTGTAGAGAAAATGAGCAATTATAGAGAATTTAATGGCTTGGCAAACTGTAGATCCTTTAGTTTGCATGCTTGTCCTTTAAAGGCATTCCATTGACTCCTAATTTGTCAAAGTTATTCATAGACTTTTTTTTTTTTTTTTTCTTACATTGGGGAACCAGGAAGGATTCAGTTGTCAAAGTGAATTCTTATTTAGCTTTCTATGAAAAAATAAGTTTTTAGGCCTGGCAGGTGGTATGAAGTAACATCTTACTACATCCGTCTTACTGGTTATCATTGGAAGTGATTATTCCTTTCAATACTAATAATTGACTTGAGTTGAGGAAAGTACCAAATTAGCCAAAAGGAGATGAACAGTAGTGGCTACTCTGGTTATTATAAGCTGATGAGCAATCTTATTTTTTTTAATCGATAGAACATAATTTTTCTCTTTTAGTGTGAAATAAAAGTAGCAATGTCGAAGGAGCAGTACCAGCAACAGCAGCAGTGGGGGTCAAGAGGAGGATTTGCCGGAAGAGCTCGTGGGAGAGGTGGTGGTAAGCTATAGCCTACATTTACTCTGTCTTAAGCTTGCTTTTCTGCTTTTTAATTATCCTGAAGTAAAGATCTTTGCTGATCTTCTGACTTTAGTGAACCTATTAATGTGCTGCAGGCCCCAGTCAAAACTGGAACCAGGGATATAGTAACTATTGGAATCAAGGCTATGGCAACTATGGATATAACAGCCAAGGTTACGGTGGTTATGGAGGATATGACTACACTGGTTACAACAACTACTATGGATATGGTGATTATAGCAGTAAGTACTATACTTTTTATATTAACTGCTATTTGACATTTATTTTGTACAAATTTGGATAGGTAGAAAAGTTAGTGTAGCTTTGCCAAGTGCAAAACTTTTTCAGGTTTCAAATTCCTGGAAACTTTAAACTGCAGCCATTTTACTGCCAGGTTCCTCCCAGCCTGTATCACATGCATACTGTAAGGGTAGGATGCATGTGAGTTTTGCATATGTTGCTGGGAGTTTCTCTTGCATTTGATAATATGTAAGTGTAGGTCAGATCTTGTGAGCTCAAGGTATTCCAAGTGTCTATTCTTGGACCAACCAATAATCTTGGCATAAAGTGTCTTAATATCCTATACAATTGACTGATACCACATGTTGCCAGTAAAAACTTAATCGTATCCTCTTTTTAAAAATTGATGTAGAAACTCTTAGATTTTGGACTTGATAGAGCAGAAAGCTTGAAATTTAGATTGAGAAAGCCCTGGCCTCATTGTATAACTAAGATGCCCCCCACCCAATCTGCTGTGTGTTTTGAGTCATCTGGGAAGGGGCTCTGTTAGAAGTAGTCTTGCATTCTTTAGAGAAGAGCAGTTACACTGATTGCATTAAGTGGTGTTTCTTTTCCTTCCTTGGTTAGCCCAGTTCTTGGAGTTAACATCCTTTTAGGTGACTAGGCCTGCTGCACAATAATAGGTTAACTAAAGTCAGAAGAAGGTCAGCAAAGATGAAGCGGGTGAGATGGGAGCCTTTCCTGAGAAGGGCAGAGATCATAAAGCATTAACTCTGGTTGACAATCTCCTATTGTAAGTTGTAAGGTGGTTTTACCTGGTTGTTGTGGAAGGTTCAGCTATCCCTGTTTTGGAACTTTGGACCTTTAAAGGGTCAGGGGATTGTCTTCCATTTTACCCAAGTAATAAACTGATAACTGAATGCTTGCCATTGTAGGCATTCATTACCTATTTTATTAAATTGTTGGTTACATGATTGCTCTGGGTGAATTTCTCACTTTTTGGGTTGAGATTATTTGAAATTATACTCTGTTCTGATTATGTAACCACTGCCGATGTGGTTTTAACACTTTTTCTATTTTAGACCAGCAGAGTGGTTATGGAAAAGTATCCAGGCGAGGTGGTCATCAAAATAGCTACAAACCATACTAAATTATTCCATTTGCAACTTATCCCCAACAGGTATGTCCTAAAATAGTTTTTAAAGTGATCATTTTAAGTAGTAGTTTATATATTCTATATTGTATATAAAACAGTGTTTAATATTTTAGAGTTTCACAGCACCCAGAAGTGCTTACCGTATTATTACATAGTGACTGAATTTTCAAGATATGTAACACAGGTGCTTTTAAGCTTTTTGCCTTTTTGTCCTATTATTAACGAGTCAGTAAAGTTAACAGGTAAAGTACTGCTAATGGGTACAAATTAAGGAATTACAGCAAAAAAGTATTGCCTACTAACTCTGACATTATACCTTGTTTGTACCCGCCAGCGGGAGCTTCATTGCAGGCCCTGTGTCGCGCTGACTTCACGATTCTCACAGGCCCGCTCAATGCGGACAGGGTACGAGATGCTCACGCTCTCGAATGCTGCCGTTTGGTATGGTCTCTTCCAACATCCTGTATCAGCATTATAAAATAAAGTGGATACTTCAAGCTTTGCCTTCACTTATTTCTTTGCTTTTTAAAAACTATTTGTAATGTAATTTTAATGCATTTTTTACAGGCCCAGTAATGGTTAAATACGTCAGCTTACTGAATAATTTTAACTATTTATTCCTCTAAGGATACAGCTTGTCTCTGGATTTTCCAGTCTTAATTTTATATTTTATTAATCTATTTTAATGCTTGCTTTTCCCATTTATAGACGTTGTAGCAGTAATTGCAAGAAGTTCTTGAGCTGAATTCCTGTTGTGACAACTCCCTATATATCTATAACTTTTTCTTTTAGTTGCATATAACTTTTCTATAACTTGTGATGAACAAGAGATATGCTGATCCAATAAAATAAATTTAAATTAAAGATGCTTTTGGGTCAAAATGTCCTTTTACCAAATTGACTGAACTTTTTATGAGTTCTTTAGGTAATACTTTTTGAAAAGTTTCTTGTAATTTTAAAGAACCCTAATGAAAGCATATCGCATCTTAAACCAGTGGTGCACATGTGGATTTACAGCTCATGGACTATACTGTTCAGCTTTAATTTATAAAACATACCACACATTTAATGTTACTCAGTATTTACATATAGTGGAACATAGGGATAATTCAGTTTTTAGTAGATTTTTGGTTAAGTGGTGTAGCCTACCCAGAGTGACTTTCTTTTTTCTTCTGTCTCCAGGTGGTGAAGCAGTATTTTCCAATTTGAAGATTCATTTGAAGGTGGCTCCTGCCACCTGCTAATAGCAGTTCAAACTAAATTTTTTGTATCAAGTCCCCGAATGGAAGTATGACGTTGGGTCCCTCTGAAGTTTAATTCTGAGTTTTCATTAAAAGAAATTTGCTTTCATTGTTTTATTTCTTAATTGCTATGCTTCAGAATCAATTTGTGTTTTATGCCCTTACCCCAGTATTGTAGAGCAAGTCTTGTGTTAAAAGCCCAGTGTGACAGTGTCATGATGTAGTAGTGTCTTACTGGTTTTTTAATAAATCCTTTTGTATAAAAATGTATTGGCTCTTTTATCATCAGACTAGGAAGAACTGAGGAATATTAAAAAATTGTCATGGATTCAGGTTACTAGAATAAATTTGGAAAAGCAGTAAACTTTGTCAAAATTGACATGCTAAAATTGCAGTGAAATTTTAAATAGTTTTAGCAAACTTTTTTTGCCAGTTCTCCCTGTCCAAGTTGGAAATAATGTTCATTTATTTGTTGGTTGTTTTAATACTACTACTTTCTGTAGACATTAAGTTTTATATGAATACTTTCCAGAATGCCCACTTTTTGTCTTTATGTGTATGCTTAATATGCTTTTTAGAACAAACTTGGATAAATGTGCAAGAACTCTTTTGCACAGATGTTTTATGCTTCCATTAAATAAAAATATGGACTTCAAATGTACATTACAATAGAAATGCACCTAGTTCAGTTTGAGCTGTGTTGGACTTAATAGCTATTCTCAAGTGTTGAGGGGAGGATTAAAGAAATGTATATTGTTCATGTGTGTTTTGTTTGAATGTTTTTTTTTTTCTTTTTCTCTCTTTTTTTTTTTAAGAGTATTAAAAATAGCTGTCTAGGATTTTAAGGTGGGCTGGGGAATTCTGAATCATTCTAGAAAAAGGTCTGACCAGGGAGTCTAAATGATATCTTTAGGGTTAAGTCGCTAGCTTTTACTATTACTTCTTTTGTTTATAAAGTTGTACAAATTGACAAAACTTTTGAGTTGGAAAGTTCTTAGGATCTGTATATAAGCAGGGCATTTGATACTTGGATGGAAAATTCTTTGTAAGTACTACTCAAGGTGAATGTATGTGTTTAAGACTGACACACCAGTCAATTCAAATCTAACTAGAAAAAACAGAAATGACCTAATTTTGTAGCAGAATGAAGTGATCAGGTAGCTTTTTGGTTTCATTTGTAGAGTTGAGTTACATCTGTTTTAAGAATTTGAGGGATTATCACAAGTTTGAGACCAGTATCAGTAAGTTAAAAGTCTGAGGATGGATAATCCAAATGGGGAAGTCTGCATCCTGTTTTTTGTAGAAAAGCATTGTAACATAGCTATGTGCTCATTTATTTACAGGTTGTGTGCTAGTGTGGCAGAACTGAGTAGTTAAGACAAAGACAAACTTGGACAACTAAAATACTCCCTGGATTTTTGTAGAAAGTTTTTTGACAACTGGTCTCTGGAAAAAAGTTGTAGTTGTTAGGCTGGGAGTTTTTATATTTGTGTTATACTATGTAAAGCTATGCTTATTTTATGTAAATGTCCTGTATCAAAAGTTAACTGGGTTTAAAACTGATGGAATTAGAAGAAAAGGGTGTGTGGTGTGATGTTTAAATGTTTTACAAGCCCTATACTTTGGTAAATTGAATTAAGTAGGAAATGACAGTTATATTGCTGTGTTTAGATTTGACTTCAGTAATTTTATATTTTAAATTTTGAAGGTTCTCATAAAAGTTACATGTAGAAAAAAATCTGGTTTTTATATCCTTTTGTTTTATATATCAAAGGTGTATTTACATTCTTATTCTCTGATCCATTTTAGGTATTATCTCTTGGCCTACATAAGTATTTTTCTTACACTGGGTACTAATTTATTTCCAGACCAACAATCTCAAATTTGCCATTTCTGAAAATTCATAATTACCAGTCTTCTCTTTGATTTACATATTCTAGTCTAAAATGGTTGCCCTTGATTAACTTTATTTAGCTGGGCTTTGCCATTACTCTGAGGGTCTCTTCTCAGTGCTTTCTTGGTTTGCTACAGCTCTGGATCAGTGCTTTCAGTTTGCTGTAGCAGATCTCATAATTCTGAGGCCTTGTCTTCTGTGCTCAAAACACATTATCTGGATGGCTGGATAGAGGAAACATTTGTTGAAGAAATTTGATGTTACTTTGAATCCTAGTTTTATGTAGTCATTGCTCAGAAAAATATTTTTACTATCACTAGTACTCTTCAAATTTAATGTGTTTATTTTATCCACTGTACGGAGTACTTAGTGGCCCTAAGTTTTGTAGACTTTTCTGCATCCACCATCCTAATCTTAGTTGTCTGTAATTCTTGTTACTAGGCATGAGCCTTCAGCATTTTTTGTTTTATTTTCCAGTGTAGTCTCGTATAATTTCTACAGTTTACTTTTTCAACCTTTAAAAAACATGAAATAGGGGACAGGGAGATGGCTGAATAGAAAGGGCCAGAGTTCAATCCCCGGTTGCACAAAAACCAGAAAAACCAAACATATAAGGTACTAGTTATCTTAATTTCTAAGATGCCCCCAATCTGTCACTAGTGATAGGTGGCTATATCTTTATTGGTTATTCATGATAACTTATGTTTTCTTGTTCTGGTTTATATAAATTTTTGAAATCATTTGGTGATTCTAAGTTCATATTTATTGTGGAACATTTAAAACTGATTGGATGTGTTGAGCTGGGAGAAGAGCTTAAGAATCTTGGGATTCTTTGCTGTATGATCTGGTTGTGATTCTTGCCTTTTGTTGAGGAACATCTAGCTAATCTTTATCTCCTTTTTAGTTGGTTAGTCAAGGTCATAAGGGACCTTCACCCTTCTGTGGAAGGGTGTAAGACCCAGCCTGCCAGTGTTCTCTTGTCACTGGGAGAAGGCTGAGGGATAGGATCTTAACTTGGTCCAAAGAACTGTCTCAACTGCTTCCTTTCTCTCCAGGTTGGTGGAGTTGGTTGTCTGGCAGTACAGAGGATCTGGAGGTCTAATTTAGATGCTCAGTCTGAACCAGTATTTCTACTGGTAGGCTACCAGTTCTTTAGCCTTTGCTGGGTTGTGGTTTTCCGAGATGTCTTTTAGTTTCTAAAATTTTGTTGCTGTCTCCTGTGGCTTGGTACGTTGTTTTTTTTATAAAGGTCTCCCCAGTTTTTAAAGTTCCTGCTTTTTAGTAATGTTTCAGAAGGTTGATGTTAACTGGCCTATTTGTGTGTACGTGGTCAGTTGTGAAAAGTTTGGGGAGGCAGAAGAAGCAGGTAAATTAACAGCTTAGTACCCTTATTTGGTCCAGAAAGTTTACAAGCTCTGTTGATTTATTATAGCATTAATTTATAGTTACTGATGTTACCAGTGATTTCATTTCAGAGTTTCATAGTCTTGCAAAAACTACCAATCCCACTTTCAAGTAATGAGCTCTACAGGTATACGATCCTGAATCATACTTTGATACCTTTTGGTTTACTGCATGTCTGTTACCGTATTGTAACCATATTAACTCCAGACTGGGTTAGTAATATTCTAATTGTATTTGGTTGTGCCAGAGTTACAGTTTATGTGTAACATCTACCCAGTGCAAGTTCATGATGGTCATCTCAAAATATCAACATCCAGTTATTAGGCCTTAGCAGTCTGTAATAGGAAGCTAATTTAGTCTATATGCTTTTCTTCTACCACCCCCTACCACCATTTTGGTACTATCCTGTCAGTACTTTGTAGGGTTCTGAAATAGGGTTTCTAGAAGCCAGGAATGAACCTATTGTTCAGCAGTTATTTGTGTTTGTCTTGAAATTTAAGCGTTTATTTGCTTTGGGGTCATTTTGCCTTGCACTGAGAAAATAGCTGTGTGTAGTGACACAGCAGACTTTTTTTTTTTTTAGGGGAGGGGAATAGTTTCCTAATCTACCCGTGTGCTAGCATTTAAGCATGATTCCAGACTATGCACAAAACATGATCTTTAAAAAACTACATGGTAGTGAAGGGGAAGTATCTTTATTCAATCCTGGCCACACTTTTGTATGATTTAGCATAGTCTTGCCTGAAAATTTCCGTGGGTAAAGTAATTCTAGTAAGATGAGTTTTACAAGGTGAGTATACCTTGTAATTAGCTCAGTTGCCTAAAATACAGTAAAGTAGGAAGGCTTGATTTATAATATTGACATTTCAAAGGTTTGTAGGGCAACCACATGAGAATAAAATGAGTTCCAGGAGATGTCTGGGATTTTGTATTTCACATACCCCAAGTGAATTTAGTTCATTTATGTACTCAAGATCGTAGTTTTAAGATGGTAGAAGTAAAAAGCTTTATAAGGCTTTTGACTTGGTCTTTCAGTGTAGAGGGTAGGTTACATGTTTTGTAAGATTTACACTGAAGCATTCAAGTTATGGGTGCTAAGTTTTAACGTGAAAAAAAAAAACCCACTAGTATTCTAATGAGTGTCCGAGAACAGTCGAATACCAAGTGGAAGAAGAGAGTTGGAGGTTGGGGGGACAGGCTGGTAGAGGCTGGGAACATGGTAAGTTGATTTTTGTTTTTAAGTTCTCTAGAGGGAATACATTTTCTGGAATCTTTTTTTTTTTTTTTCCGGAACTGAGGATGGGAATACATTTTCTTCACTACCTTGTTCTAGAGTTCGACATCCCAGATTTTATGACAAGGGCTCTAAAATTGACTTCATAAATGTCAAGATGGGCTGGTTATTGGTCTACCATCCTAACACCTTTTTAGAGTCTCTGAAAGGATTGTTCTGGTGGTCTCTCAGTTGACCTTAGTATGTGGTACCAGAAGACAATGTAATTTAGGAAGAGGGTAATTGCCAAGTGTTAATGAATTGCCCCAGTAAACCCTGTAAAGGCAGGAAATTTGGGGTGGATGAGTTCTTACAAAGCTATGAAGAAGACCTTGAAAAATTGTACTGAAAAGGTTAAGAAGATGCTACAGAAGACTTCGCTCCTAAGAACCAGATGTTCTTGTTTTAGCATTTCATGTTATTTAAACTTGTGAGAGGAATTCTTTAAAGTCTTCAACTAAAATACAGGTAGGCATTAATTCACTAAACAATAATAAAGGATTATATTTTGGGAGATTTGATGTTGGGTAAAGACTACTTAAAGGTTAATTTGTATGCATTTTTATTTTGTAACCAGACTGTATTCTGTTTGCACTGTAGAATTTGAAGGCAAGGTTATTTTCTTAGTTTTTAAAATTTTCTCTTAGAAAAAAAGTATTGGAGGAAACCGAAGAAGAGATTTGTTAATGCCAGTATCTAAATGTGACATTTAACATGTCATGGAAACTGCTTTGAATAAATACTTTTAAAAAGGAATTCTATAATTGCTTTCTGTGTTGTATGGATGGCTTTGGATCACACAGGTTAATCACCTTTTTATAAAATACTACAGGACTGTTGAACTCATTTCAAAAAATTGGAAGATGGCTTGTTACAGTGTAGTTAAGAAATTAGATAAAGCAGGAAAAAATTTTGAAGTGTTCAGAAGTTTGCTATAAATTGCTCCTACAATTACTTATATATAAGCATGCTACCACTAATCAGTTTTATGTATTAAGGTCTATTAGCACGTCTTAAAATACCTGGTTAACTTTATTTTAAACTACATAATGTTCTGTGTACCATTTAGCATTTTCAGC